TCTGAATCGGTGCATCTTTGAATGTTCAAACATTAATCTGGATACATTTTGCTCTTTGAGATGAGAGACAACTGCTTCCTCCCTACATTCCTGATCCGAAAGCTCACTGCTCAGACACGGAGGAGCTGAAGGCAATGTGCTGGGGGTGGCGGGGGTGTGGATATGGTACTGTACACCAGGCTGTACTGGGGGTGGGGAGGTGGGGGTGTGGATTTGGTACAGTACACCGGGCTGTGCTGTGACGGGGGAGCTGGTGCTTGTTGATACAAGAGAAATAAACACACAGGAACTAATTCCTGGAGGTATATCGTTGTGAGCTATCCCAGTGTAGTTTTGCACAGTAATAGGGCCATGGGTTAATTTGAGGGAGCGCCAGAGAGATTTGGTTATGGAGGTTTTAGCGGGTTTGTCACTCTCCTGAAGGTGAGGCTCTAGCTAGCTCGCAGCTCCTTTTGGGAGGCAGTGTCTCAGAACAAACCGTGGGTTCTTTCTCAACTTGTTCAGAGGGGGCTGTGCTCTATTCTCAACTAAAAGCAGACTCTGGGAATAACATTTTCTGGTAACTACCTGCTACTGAGGTACTTATGTTAAACTGTGTGTAGGTTTGTTACAGTCAGCTGGAGACACATCATTGACCGTTCTCGTATTGTGTTTTTTTTAAATTCATCCGTGGGATGAGGGCGTCGCTGGCCAGGCAGCGTTTATTGCCCATCCCTAATTGCCCAGAGGGCAGTTAAGAGTCAACCACATTGCTGTGGGTCTGGAGTCACATGTAGGCCAGACCAGGTAAGGATGGCAATTTCCTTCCCTAAAGGACATTAGTGAACCAGATGGGTTTTTCCCAACAGTCGACAATCAAACATTCCCAGGACAAGGACAGCACGGGGTTAGATACAGAGTAAAGCTCCCTCTACACTGTCCCCATCAAAGCCTTTAAATATTACAGTCAGAGGAAGTTCTCGTACCTGATTTTTGAATTATGAACTCCGTGTGATTTTCCGATCTCCCAGGCTCCCTTAACCACTCGCTGTCCCTCCATTTGTTGGTCTTTATTTGCTGCCCAGCGCCTCACTCTGGGCTGTCAGTGTCGTTGCAGTATGTGGCAGTCGGACAAATACACTGACTGTTCTCTGATGTGGAGCAGGGGGTGGGGGGTGGTATGGCTGTTTGTTACCCCCCACCCCCCAACCCACCTTCCAGCCCAAGTGCAGCCAATGTTGATGGGAGTCACTCTGTCTGGGAGTGAACTCTGGCACGTTTTAACTTCTTGCCTTTCCCAAAGTGCGTCCCATTAATTCCCCAAATTAGTTCCTGATGGTGAGTTGTTGTGATCTGAGAGGGTGGTGTATAATAACTGCACTTTCAGAAGGAAATTGGAGAAACACTGGAGGGAAAGGCTAGTGGGTGTGGAGCCGGGTGAGTGGATTAACTGAATCGTTTATTGAAAGGGCTAGTATGAGCATGATGGGCGGAATGGGGTGAAGCAATGTTCTTATAGCGATTGATCTGTACACAGCAAGAAGTTCCAACTTTGAGCCAACCTTAAGACCATGTGATATAGGTGCAGGAGTAGACCATTCGGCCCATTGAATCTGTTCCACCATTCAATGAGATCATGGCTGATATGCTAGCCCTCAGCACGCAAAGCCAGAAGTTGCTGGAAATGCTGAGCAGGTCTGGCAGCATCATGGGAGAGAAATCAGAGTTAACGTTTGGGGTCTGGTGACCCTTCCTCAGAACTGATGGTAGTTAGGAAAATGTTGGTTTATGTGCAGGAGATAAGTTGGGGGGAGGGGGTAAGGAGTAAACGTTAGGTGGGGATAGAGCCCAAAGTGGGAGAAGAGCATTTGTACAGACAAAGGGGTGATAACGATCTGGCTGGGAGGGTAAATAGCTGTTAGTGGAAACTGTTAGTCTGCCATTACACGCTACCTATTGTTAATCACTGTGATAACAAGGCCTGGCATGTGGAGTTGGGGGCTAGGACATGGGTTCAGGCCCTAAGCAGCACTTCATCTGGACAGTATGTTTGGGCCCTTAGATAGTGGAAAGGGAGGAGGTAAATGCGCAGGTGTTACACCTTCAACAGTTGGAGGGGAAGGTGTCGTGGGGCTGTGGGGGGGTGTTGTTGGAATGGAAGAAGAATGGACCAGAGGTTCCCGGAGGGAATGGTCCCTGTGGAAGGCAGACAAGGCAGGGGAGGGGAATATGTGTCTGGTGATGGCATTGCCCTGGAGGTGGTGGAAATGGTGCCTGATGATCTTCTGGATGTGGATGCTGGTGGGATGGTAGGTGAGGATAAGGGGAACCCTATCGCTGTTGCAGGAGGGAAGAGAAGGGGTGAGGGTTGAAGTGCGGGAGTTGGGTCGGACCTGGTTGAGGGCCCTGTCAACAACGGTGCTGGGGAATCCTCGGTTGAGGAAGAAGGTGGACATTTCGAAGTTGGCCTCATCGGAACATATGCGACAGAGATGGAGGAACTGGGAGAATGGGATGAAGTCTTTACAGGAAGCAGGGTTTGAGGATGTATAGTCCAGGTAGCTGTGGGAGTCAGTGAGTTTATGGTGATAATCCTCAACTCCACTTTTCTGCCTTTTCCCCATAACCATCAACTCTCTTCCTGACCAAAATTCTGTCTGTCTTAGCCTTGAATATACTTAATGACCCAGCCCCGACAACCCTCCATGGTAAAGAATTTCACAGATTCACTTCCCACAGGGAGAAGAAATTCCTCCTCATCTCTGTCTTAAATGGGCAACCCCTTATTCTGAGATTTTAGCCTTTGGTCCTAGACTTCCCCCACAAGGAGAAACAGCCCCTCTGTATCTACCCCATCAAGCCCCAAGAATATATTTCGATAAGGTCGCCTCTTATTCTTCTAAGCTGCAATGGGTACTGGCCCAACCTACTCAACCTCTCCTGATAAGATAGTCCCTCTGTCCCTGTGAGTAGCCTTGAAGGATTACCATCCACTGGGAGGGAAAGCAAGTTCCATTAGCTCAATACCTGGAGAAACTCAGCAGGTCAGATCAGGAGTCCTGGTGAAAGGTATAAACCCGAAACGTCAGCTTTCCTGCTCCTCTGATGCTGCCTGGCCTGCTGTGTTCCTCCAGCTCCACGCTGTGTTCCCTCTGATGCTGCCTGGCCTGCTGTGTTCCTCCAGCTCCACACTGTGTTATCTCTGACTCCAGCATCGGCAGTTCTTACTATCTCCAGGTTCCATTAGCTCCTCTGTTTGACCTCATGTACATGCTCCATCCCCCAGAGACGATGTCACCAGGGACAGCTTTCAGGGTCTTTGCGTTTGGAAGGATGTCACTCAAAATTGTTCAAGTCCAAAACTCCATTTCCAACTGAGGGAACGCAGGGGGGCAGGGGGTGGTGTGTAGTGGCCATTCTGGTGTTAACTTGTGTATTTGGCGCTGGCTCAGGTACAGGCACGTCACCAAGCTCTTTTATTCACTTCTGGGATGTGGGTGTCATCGGCTGGGTCCAGCATTTATTGCCCGTCCCTAGTTGCCCCTTGAGAAGGTGGGGGTGAGCTGCCTTCTTGAACCGCTGCAGTCCATGTGCTATAAGTAGACCCTCAATGCCATTAGGGAGGGAATTCCAGGATTCTGACCCAGTGACAGTGAGGGAACGGCGATATATTTCCAAGTCAGGATGGTGAGCGGCTTGGAGGGGAACTTGCAGGGGGTGGTGTTCCCATGTATCTGCTGCCCTTGTCCTTCTAGATGGAAGTGGTCGTGGGTTTGGAAGGTGCTGCCTGAGGATCTTTGGTGAGTTTCTGCAGCGCATCTTGTAGATAGTACACACGGCTACTACTGAGCGTCGGTGGTGGAAGGAGTGGGTGTTTGTGGATGTGATGCCAATCAAGCGGCTGCTTTGTCCTGGATGGT